CGAACGTTCGAGCGTTAACAGTCCCTACTCAAACAACGTGTGCAATGATAAAAGAAGGTACTATCCACATGCTTTGATTGTTCGTTCAACAATTTTTAAGACTTTTAAGACAACTTTTAACTTTTCAACTTTTAAGATGAATGACAACACATTGTCATTCATCTTAAAAGCTGGGGCCTTTTACCCTCTACCATTCCTGCCGCGTTATAGACTACAGATGCTTGCTTTTTGTAGGCTGGATTACACATTTATTTATTTTACCTTAAGCTCGTTAAAATGAAACGATATTCAAAACAACCCTTAAAAAACTGAAGATATTGGCGTCCATATTCTTTTAGAGCTTCACTTTCTGATGACCGGAACGAGGTTCTGAAATTGGTAAAAATAAAGAACACTTTTTATGCACACAAAAATTGCGTGGTTCGTTTTTTATGGCTACAGTAAGCCATGCATACTAGTTAGATATTTGGTAGGTTTTGTTGAAGGTATTACGGGCCTATAGTATGAAGATTTTTATATGCCACTTAATAGAATAGTATTTTCCAGACGGGACAGCCGCGAACTCTCACTATGGCAATATGTTGCACGAACAACTATTATTCCTGTCGCGTCCTGAAGCGTCTAGAACGCAACGTCCCAAAAGCATCCTGCCTCGAGTATTAATCAAAGTGTAAACGTTAGTACGATGTGTATGTATGTTTCTTTATGGAAATTACGCAGTACCTTGAATCTATTCTTCTTGCTGTCGATCTAAAATTCGTTTGGTCTTACGTTTATACCATATTAAGAACATGGTAGAAACGTGAACGCCAAACGTTTAGTGAACATCCTATATCCGGTAAACTGCAGCGAAGATGCGTGTGGCTCAACTCTGGATATCCCAATTTAAATGTCTGTCAATCATTGCATTCATACAATTTAACCGTTTATAGAGATTTTTTTGTAAACTTTCATATCGCCGTCTTGTTTTTCATAAACAGCATGCAACAGATATATGACGTTGCGTAGCAGGCCTTTGCCCCGATAAATATACCAGGACGTTCAGCTGGATACGTGCACGTTATATCGTTCGTTGAAGATAGCAATTTACTACTACTACTACTACTACTACTACTACTGCTGCCGCTGCGTGTTATGTTCGGTCGATAATAACTGTATGACAGGAACGATACGCATTGGTGTAATTAATTGAAGAACTTACAAAAAAACGGTCTCGCAAAGCCAAGATATCGCCGTTTTCTATTGTTATTATTATTGTCTCTATATTAAATCGCTGAATAAGTTATCAAAAAAATATCTATGTATATATATGTAGTGGTGATGATGATGTTTACGTTTGAATTAACAGCAAGCATTACAATCGGAGGCTCAAAGACTATCACCTAATTAATGAATTCACAAAATATCATTATGTTTGGATACATGAGGGAAGACTCTCTTTGAATGGAGCTTTGCATATGACAGACGAACGCTAGAAACGTTGAGTGAGAAGCTAAGAAGCGCAGAGTCGGACTATTCGTCTTCACCAATGGTATTCATCCAAAAAAGCCCTTGATATTAACAATGAGAAAGGTCTGTTTTGTGCAAAGGAGTTACAGTTTACCTTCTTAACTTATAATGAATAGGAACCGCTCTGAGCATTGGCACGCTCTCACACAACGTTTTCTAACCCATCACACCCTGACTCTATGAATTCCTCGTATTGCTCTAGAAGCAAAAGAAAGAAGAAAAAAGCAAAGCTGTTCTATCTTTTCTAGACAAATCTGAATATCGTTGATAGGGTTGAGGCCGAGCATCACCGATAAAATAACGGACCCTCGGTACAGGTATTGATCGTATTAGGTTTTAGCTCTGTGCACAATAAAGTCTTTACTCTCTACAACTAAATATGCAACCGGCTAGTAGATAGTAAACAAAGAAGTGATATACCATGGAAAGATTGGGCGACAGGTAACATCATTACACGCTGTTTATTAATAAGGGGAAAGGCCGTCAATGACAACATTAGAATAATGATGTTTTGTCGCTAACCATTTGTTGAAAAAACAAGACATTATCTCAGCTTCCTTCGTCGTATTATTGCTAGTAATATTGCTTTCTAATTAAAACAACACACATAGTTCGTGGAACTCGGAACTCTCTTTGTATACAGTAACATATATATATATATAGAATATAATATAATAATTAATACATATGTACATAGAAAGCACTGCTAGCTATAGCAGACGATTTTCCCACAGTGTGGTCCATGTACAAATATAATGTAGAGAATATGGTTAGACACATTTACTAACGAAGGCGTGCTGGCGTTAATATTAGTTAGATAATTTACAAGCCTTGATTTCAAGCTCTAGCTTAAAAACATCTTTGGATACTCTCAATCAATTAGCTAAGAGAGAAAGAGAGTTGGCTAAAGCTCTAGACTTTCCCTTGCTCGTCGTTACTGTTTTGTTTAAAAAACTTTAATTTCGACAGCTTTTTTATGGGCGGGGCTACTTGAGTCTTGGCTGAATTTCCTCTGTTTCTGGAATGCACGTGATTACCTTCAGCCGACCGTGCATATCCGAATACGTCGCGTTCACACAATCAATATGTCCGCTGAAGGCCAAGGCGCAGACAACTTCGCTACGTACGCTAGTCGAGTCGGTCTTTGGCTGACTTCTATTAAAAAAAAAAAAACATTCTTTAAGTAAAATAACCTTTACAAATGCACACGTCTCATGGGCTTAAATTTGTAAGCGGTTTGATTGAAGCAAGTCAAACGATGCAAAAAGCTTTCAAAACATCTCTAGTTTAGTTGCAGCTGAGACAAATATATGAACGGTAGACATGAAATAATTTTCCAAGCCGCAAAGAAGTGAAGCGAAATTTATCAATAATGAATCCTACATCCAGATAGTTTTTTGCGGGAGGTTCAAGGAACGACGGAGATGTACTTTGCTGTTGATCTATGTAGCAACAAAATAATAACTTACGCAGGAACGCTGTTACAAACTGAAGAATGTTACTGGACTGAAAGGCTCCCAGTCGTTAGATGGCGGCAGGTGACAGGAAGAGGAAGCCAGAGGCAAACAGAATGCCAGACTTCTGTGTTTCTCGATTCCGAGAAATGTTTTTAGTTAGGTTGTTCAGCTGCTGTCGCTGTAGTCTTTTGTTTCTTCGTGAAGGCAGGAACGCCAGTATCCATCGAGCACTATTGAAACAACTCTGTCTTATTCACACAACTCATTTGGGGGGTTTCCTTCCTTGCAGCGCCACGCAGAAAAAAGCTGTGACCCGCTTGAGTTACCTATGAAGATATGCCAATAGCAGAAATGGCGGTCACGGCTTTATACCGAAGGCAGGATTTTGACTAGCAAGATGCAAAGGACCACGACTCTATGTACAAACGAAGCGAACTGTTTATGATTTCGTCTTTCTACCATATGCAGGATCGGAACTGTTTTATATATTTCCAAAGAAATACAGGGTGTAAATGCTTTCGCCAAGAGCACTGCTAACGTAAAAGGAAAGGCAGCGGCACAAGATATACCCAGCTTACCGTCTAGAACACGAAAATCGGTATGTTCAAGTAGATAGAAATAGACTTTTCAAGCTGGCCGACATTTTTTTGCTAAAAAAAAAAAATCCAGGATCTGAAGTGCATAACAATGCGAATGTTCAATAATATCATATAGTGCGTTGTCATAGGCGTGCATAGTAGCAGATTCAGACAGCCGCATGAAGGGAGACAGGATAAAACAAGCTGAATCGTGATCGTATGATACCAACATTGGCACAATGGAAAAAGATCGTTACTTTTACTGATCTTATAAAATAGGCCGATTCTGTGGTAAAAGATGTGGTCATGTTCAAGTGATTTGTTCGGCGCATGTGCTTGCCACATAGTTGTTAGCAGACATACACTGTTACGTATGGATAAATTATTGAATTCGGCCGACTTGCAGGCCGGTCGGATCGTGGACAATTTACTCTAATATCTTCTTAGCTGTTTCGATATTGGAATACATTACTTACTTATATGACACGGTTCAATAAGAGCAAATAGCGTCATGGGGTCGAGTTTCACAAACAAGACGACCATAATATTGGCACGATCAATACATGCAGTAGCAACTAAAAATGCTCCGCGTTTTTTTTTTTATCAGAGAGACAAACGGTCAATAGAAACGTGTCCGCTGCTCTCTGGGGACCTCTGCACCACCATGACACACCGCAAATGAGCCAGAAATGATAATTTCTATCGAGACGATCTGATTTAGTAGAGCACGGTACGAGGCCGCTTTCGAATTCCCATACTTACACTCTACTGAAAGCTGCCAGCCTGAGTTTAATATGTGAACTAAGCTTTGGATGCTGACACTCTTCCGATCTCGTTGTCAAACGTCCTACCCTCTGCGGGTTCTCGCCATTTGCCCAGCCGCTGTAGCCAGGCGAAATGAAGGGTACGAAAGTCGCAGCTTCTTCTCAGTTTTGCATCGGTGCTGGAAATAAGATAGCAACTGCAGAGAATAATAGAACGCGTGAGAAAGCGATCGTGAAGTACGAAATAACGGAGCATGAGTTTGTGCAAATTTTATTTTCAGCTGTAACATACACAGGTAGACATATAAATACGTCGTATGCGATAGTAAATTGGTTTTTTTCCGTTCAGCTGTTACCCTAAGAGCTCAGATCTAAATTAGTGTGGAATGTCTGCGAATTATATATTTTTTGGAATTGATGGAGCATTGTAGACGAAAGTAATTAGTATAATGGCTGCTATATACCGTACCGTGTGCGCAATCCGTGGATCTAAAAATTCAACCACTTACTTCAGGCTCTACATAGCTAATTATCCTATAACTTAAACGTGAGGTCGTTAGATAAACGTTCGTATGGCGTTTCCAATGACTGCATATATTAGCTACGATTATGATTGTATGTTGAGCACGACTTTTAGTATTACTTAATTTCATGTACCAGTACTTGCTTCATACTGCCTCGTAATTTTCCAGGTACGGAGATATGGTCCCGGATACAATAACGGGCAAGATCGTGGGCGGTGTGTGTTCATTGAGCGGTGTGCTTGTGATTGCCCTGCCCGTTCCAGTCATTGTGTCGAACTTCTCAAGGATCTACCATCAGAGCCAGCGAGCCGATAAACGAAAGGCTCAAAAGGTAAATATTACGTCGCCAGTGACGTTCATACAGTTGTATTGTAGATTTGAGGGGCATCACTTGATAAAATTATTGCAATATACATATCACTGATCGATTAGCTGGTATCATTTCGAGAAACAGACAATCGTTGTCGACGAAATCGCTATACAGCTATACAACCTATATCGCTATACAACTACCTGATGGGTTTTTACTAAACCGACATTCGAACATATGATCTGGTTCCTAAGTATACCAGGGAATATCTGTTATCCGTCAATATCAAATAGGCCAGTAATAAGTTCTTGAATGACATACCTTGAAAAAAATTCACAGTTTTGTGGAAATGACCCGCAACGCGTTAACATTAAACGTCGGCACTCAGAGAAGCGAATTTGACAAAGTTCTTGCTGGAGTTTTAACACGTTTTTTTTTCCCTACTCGAAGAGTCAACATAGCCCCTCGTTCCATTAACTGCTGAAACACCGCCGGGTCGGTTACGTCTTCTTGGATCTTTACGAGACAGCTAAGTTTGTGCGATTATTCGGTACTACAATTTTGTCCATATTATAACTTTGTACATATCTTCCTGGCGCAAAGAAAAACTATTAGTTCTTATTGAGGCACTAGACGGAATGTCGTATGATCAGCGACAGACACGGCCCCATCCGATCCTTCGAAGCTGGAACTGGGACGCCACTCTTTGATGAAGGAGAACACTTGCGCTGAGTATCCAGATTAGAGGAATTTTTTTACGTTTCTTTCTCACTTTTCTTTCTGTCATGAAATCGATATTCGAGGTAACACATAGCCCGTACGAAATCCTCAACTTGATATTAGTGATAACTAAACGCATTGCGTTCGGTCGGGTTTGATGTAATTCCGAAATGTCAGACACCAGAATCGTTTAACTGTTTCTGTCTGGGTTAGGGGTAGTTATGGATCACCCCCTGTAAAAGTAACGTCATTCGTGTTTTCACATCTCTACAAAAATCAACTCAGCTTGTCTTGAACATCTTTATCAATATGCTTGACACAATGTATTCTTTATCATTAGCTTACCCGTTTATCGCTAATAGGCCACATCATCATTTGATCCTGAAGTACTCATTAATGTTCTAACTGGCAAAGCTGAATGATTATGAAGGCTCTGCAATAAGTGGCCATTCATTCGATGCGATTACAGGAGATTTTTGTCAAAGTCCACATAAATCCGGTAAACGTTGGGCAGGTTACTAACAGCGAATCGACGCGCACAAAACCGATCCCGCTTCGGGTGTGACTGACTATAGACACAGAGTGAAATATACCAAAATCACTATATAACGGCTTTGTAGTTTAACACCGCCATATACATGCCTGTATACTCATCACTGAGCAAAGTGTAAAAATATGTTTCTCGCCTTATTTGAATATTGTTGTAACAGTTGAGTCGTCCGACCTAAACATTTAAGCTTGAAGCCTTTTAAAATATAATGTTTAAAAAAAAAAAAGAAACCGCTTGCGAAAATTGCTTTTGGCTAGCTGTAGACGTCATGGGGTTCGCCCACATTTCAACATCTGACAGTTTGTTTGCGATTTTCTTTTCAATCTTAATTTTCACCAAGGAAGTAAGTTGGGCAGGACGGTATGTATATCAACTCTTTGGCAATGCCCCAGACCTAATATGATGGAGCTTTTAATCCTCCGGAGAGCCTCAAGCTTCGGCTTGCAGTCTAGTCAGGCAGGTCGAAGCAATCAACCTCGTTGACAGCTTTTTTTTTATAGTTTCACATCGATGCACGAACACAAACCAAAATAAGCCTGATTTTGAGGTAGTTGAGTGTGAGGTCTTTATCGGGTCTCTCAATGTGCATGGCCTACTTGATAAAATAAAGTGAGTTGTATACGATATGACAAACCCATCATGCTCCTAAGTAGCAGCTAAATCTACCAAGCGTTAATTTCAATCTACTGCTAAACAATACAGTAGTATAACATCGAAGTTCTTTGATGACGTTTGTTTGTACGAAGAGCTTTTTTTCTCGTTCACCCGAGGTGGAGTGGATAGGTAGGTGGCTCTTTATCAAAGGTCCATATACCATCTATAGGTATGCTAAAACGTGTTCGTTGATTTTGCATAACATAAAAACGGGACAATTGTATCTTATCGACAAACGTGTCGTAACAATCAATTCCCATTACTGGCTCTTTGCTATATCGCGTCCCTTCATGCATAACTGAATTATTTAACATGATATTTTTGATTTTGTGTTGTATCAACTGGCAACATTCGACAACTTATAGAAGGCGCGAATGGCGCGTATCCGAATAGCGAAGGCTACAAGCGGAGCAGCGTTCGTATCAAAAAAGAAAGCGGTTGAAGCAAAACTGGCCGAACAGGAGTCCGGCCAGGACATCGATGATGGACCTGAAGACATCTTCGAGCTGCAACATCATCACCTATTACGATGTCTCGAAAAGACCACGGTACGTAGCAAACAGACAACACGTATACAAAAGTAATGGCGCAACGAATAGCATATAGTTATGGTACGATAAAACAGCTTCAATAGCCTAAACACGTTACGACAACAAGTTATCATAAGAAAAAATGTAATATTTAGGCGGAACTACATAGGGCTACCTGCGCTACGCTGTGAAGTCCTATTAGATTCACCAAAGGTTAAAATCAAAGATCGTTGCTATGACAAATCGAATATATCCATTGATTATTATCTCCAATAATACGTGCTTTGCAAGAATTCTCGTAAAAGAAGGCTACCTTAAATCGTTACGTAGAATTAGTTGCTATAATTAATTAACTAGGCAGAAAAAGCATATATTTAATAAGTTAAGTGAATCGACAGCATTAATTTTCTCTTTAAATTTTGTTACGGAAAAAATTAATTTTACAAAGGTTTTGTGGATTGCCCTGGTAAACAAGCAAGTATAGCAACACACGATCGTTGAGACGAAACATTTCGGCCTATTCGCAGCTCATTATAGGGACGTTATGTATTTAGCACCATTTTCTGCTACTCTATACTGGTTGGTGATTCCTGTTTCATCGCCCTGTACGGCTTTCCCATTCAGCGAGTGGCGGCTTTATGGTGATGCAGTGCGGTGACCCTGAGCCGGGGACAGTCAGGGCCAGCCGGTGAAGGCTGCGTCTATAAATGGCGTTGCCAGTAAAAGCCAGCCGTTCCCAAAAATTCGTCTGCTCTAATGTCAGCCTTTACTTCCTCAGCATTCAACGATATCTAAGGCTACCCTATTTGTACCGCACGCCGAAATTTCTTTCGTACCTCCTATTCAGCGATGCCTTGACAACGAGCTAGCCTATCTGTGTCATTGGTGGGAGCCCGAAGAGAGGCTGGGTTAGGGGAGGGAGCACTCTATAGAAAAGGGGGCACCTACCACCGCCTTGCCGCGGACGCTGAATGGCATGGCTTGCCCGTAAGTCATCATGAACTTGGCATCATGCCAATCCTTCCCAGACTCAGTTCTACAAACTCTCGGCCCTATGGCCCCGTGTGAAAAGCCCTGTGAGGTTCGATCGTCGCAGACGAGAGCGAATCGTGTGAGACTTCACTATGGGCTTAACGCGTGCCACACTTTTTTCCGCTGGCCAGAAAGCGTATTTTCTCGCTTTTTAACTATGAGAAGGCATAGCTGCGGCTAAAGCTATCTCGCTTCCTATTTTTCTGTCGCTCTGACCATTGTAGAGCTGCTTGTGACCTATCCAGTAAATCCACCCAGTATTGTTTGAGACACATATTTAACTCTTGCATAATATTAGCACCATAATAAAATCTCAAACAGGAATACAAACCAGTATAGGACGGATGCAGAGAGAGAATTGACTACGTGAAGAAGCGAGACGGAAATGTAGGCCTCCCTGTGCTATGAATATGTGATAGTTCTTATATTTTGGTCCTGTCAGGGTTGTTGTACTTTCGTCGTCGTTGTGTTATTCTCTCGGTGTCCCCTCTCCATTATGTTACGATATTATTCAACGATATCTTGCTATCACTGTAATATCTTTAATGTCTATAAATGCGCTAGCTACAGAGATACAATTCTGATACACGTATCTAAGCGAATAGAGCGCGTAGCATCTTGGTAGAGAGCAGTGGACGAGTTCTCTAAAAGAGAGAAATTAGCTTGTGATGAACGCAAATGGCGACCAGGTTTTCCTCAACTAGGTTTTCACTTAGCCTCGCCTAACCTGCGTCGGGTTGGCCTCCTCGACGTCCTTTTAACTGTGCCCCGTGCATACAGGGAGCAAGAACCATGCTCCAGTGAGCATTTAGCTAACTATTTCTCTCGGGCTATCCCAAAGAATTGGTGCGTTTCCGCCTTGTGTAATTGACCTCGTTACTTACCTGAAGCAGCAGAAACATGCTGTGGGTTACGATGAACCATAATAACACTATACGTTGTTTCTCTCGTGATAAAAATGAAAAGAAGTTCGAACAGGCAGGCTGATTTGTTTTACGACCTTTTGCTTTAGTCAGAACGAAGCGCTTACTACGCTACTACCGCCTGACGTGACCGTACAGACGACCACAGTAGCGGCAGCGTCTGCCTGAGACGGATCGATGTTTTCCAGGCACAGGTCTCTATCAGAGCATTCCACCCTAGGTTTGGGTAAAGGGGCATTGGCCAAATTAATATTTAATAGGTTACAGCAGGAACATATCTGGCGCCTCTATACCTTCTCCCATATTCAGAACTTATTTACAGAATATACTTCAGAATTACTGCTCTGTCACTTTATCCACCCTTGACCTTGCTGCATTTAGCATCAAATGATTGGTTAGGGCAAGTGGCCTGCAGATCAAAGCTAAACAACAAAAATATACACTGCCTCGATTTGGCCAAATCTTAGCCACAGTCAGGCTCAGCAGAAACGCCGCCAGGATCGGACCAGTACTGAATAGTCTGAAGATACACAGAATGATGGTTTCAAGGGACAAGCTTACAAGAATTTCAGTGGAGGATGCTTATATTTGGTTTTTTTCGGGTCGCCTATATAAATATCATATAGCACATTCGATTATAACAATAAGGTTTAAATATCAAACAACCCCTTTGCTACAATCTGTAAACAAGCAATTCCAGAAGGGTTACAAAATCGAGCTTTTGGCTTATACAAGCGTTCACCACGGCTCGACACGCGTATTAATGTCGAGGACATTTAGCGAGTAAATTTTTTATGGGACTGCTGTAAATCCCTACTGGTATACATAAAAATCCGCGTGGGCTGGGTCCTTGATTTCAGCAATATTTAAGTTCAACGTTCTAGTTGTACAGATTTGAGCGACTCTTTCGCCGAACATAAAACTCGAAGCATTTCAGGACCCTTGAACATAGTGAAGACTTTACCATTCATTGTTTCCCTGGATGTTAGAACGCTGGGTCCTCATTATATTCGTTTGCATCATACGCAGATTCTTTCGCAACCTCGTCAGAGCGATAATTCTTTACCGTATTAAAGTTCCGATGAGCTCCATCTAGGCAGACTCGCTGGCATGTACTACTAACACTTTGATGCAAAAGAGTGCCATAGCTTATTTCAAGAATATCGTGTAACAATGTGTGTAGCAAGCCTTGAGCATCAGCAGGACTTGTACAAAAGGGGGGTGTGTGACGCTTTCTCTTCAAGCCCAGGTATTGTTCGCAAACGAGTCCTTGAAAGCCTCGGAGTTTTAGACGCGTATACAGGCGGGCGTGGACAGACCTTGTTTTCGTAGACGGACGTAAAACTCGAAATATGGAGGCTGGTTACAGAACCGAAAGCGATTAATTGTACATATTCTTGCCTATACTGTTTTCTGTAGATAACAATCTACTTCCCTTTGTTTAAACTAATAGTGTGCATATGTATGTATTCTCTCCGTTCGCAGGCCACGACTTCAACACTACAATATTCACAGTTAAATAGAAATGATTAAAGGCACAAATGGCTGGGTGTTTGCCTTGAAACCGCTTTTAAAGGTGTATGCAATAGGAAGAAGACTACGATTATGATTCATATTTTTCCCGATTCGTCCGTCTAATGGAGCTCCAAAACTGCTTGATTATTACTAAATATTTCATTTACCTGTTTATCATTTACTATGTTCGCGAAAGTAATGCTTCTACTACATAGATACCAAAATACACTTGTTCAGATATCACAGGATAATAAGTTTCTGTAAGGCTTTCCTCGTCGAGAAACATTCGATCAAAAAAGCGGGTACAGGGGCCTTATAGCTAATGACAAAGGACCGCCTTTACTCAAAGCACCCGTCATTGAAAATAAAGGCGCAATAGCAATCGCATGTCCTTATAATTAACTGCAAAGATTTAGCCAAAATATATATAGATACTCAGTAAAATAGCATCACAGCAGTACATAGCTGCTGTAGTCAAACAGTTTAGCGTTCCGCAGATGTTCATGAAATTGATAGAGGAGGGAAAAAAACAACTATCCACAATATAGCAGATGCAAGTGACTGCCATTGCTGTGGCCGCCGCGGCCAAACCTTCTCAAACGGCTGTTAATTCTAATGTGACAGTGGACGAACCGGCAGACAGTTTCTGCGCGATTCGCTCCTCCCAACGGCTCCTCGTTTCTAGCCGACGGGTCAGCGGAGGGACGTGACCAAAATGCCATTACTATGAGCTTCCTTTCATTTTACGGTCACGTTGGACCATTACTCTATTGCGACCAACTGCTTGAGTTCCTATAGACTTCCGCTATTGCATAGAGGTGACAGCGCCGAGGCGCCAAAAGCCGTTAAAGAGTGGCTGGCCGTCGACGACATTGACGGGTGGCGTTTGTGATCAGTTGTATTACTAATAAAAGAAAGGCAGGTCATTGGGCTGGGATGAGCAAGGCGACTTCGCGAGTGGCTGGTGACAGACATTTGCTATTATTATCTTCCTGGCCCTCTCTTCGACAACGTAAATGCTCAGTCTAACAGGCTGACCGATAAAGTCAGATGGGCCAGATTCAGTAACAGCTAGAGACCAAACCACAATCACGGCTACAACTACGGATGACAGCTTCGAGTTAAAATCAAAAGAAGGGAAGTAAAACGAGCAGGAAAAGGGGAGAGAGAGCGACCTAGAATCAACATCCGCCGCAAGTCAGCAGTCGGAAATGTCCTAATACGAAACGTGCGGAATTGTAGACGGCGTGCACGAACGTGCGATAATAAGAAACCGGCGGGTGGTGAGCAGAATAAGGTCGAACTAAAGTTATGCCAGTCTACATACAATGTACAGAATAAAATGGGGATGAGAAATAGCAAGGGGAGAAAAACCTATGGGGATGATTTTGTGAATAAAGGACTTTTTGTTGGGCTTATTCCATTCGCTCTTTCATTTGATGAAAGGTTCAGATCACTCAACAATCATTATAAAGGAAAAGAGAACATAAAAAACAGGGCAACAAAAAGGCAGGGGGAAGAAGCGACAGTAAAGTTATGGCAAAGGCGCCCGGCATCGACTCATTTGTGGCTTTCTCAAATGAGTCTTTTGAGATTCCTTTGCTGCCTCACGAGGTGCAGGAAACCGGCCGCAGAAGTTCCAGTGATTTAAAAAGTCAATGTTTTTATTTCGGGTACAAGTAGTCTTAGCTCGTTCGTCTTCGAACTCCGCTTCCACGGGTCCCTCAATAGCCACGTGTTTCACTTGATAATTAGCAACTAACGGCTTGAAATTGTACGGCTAAGAGCCAACGCGGAATAGGCAACAGCAAGAGGAAAGACCAATTATGGCTGAAACGGGCGTCGTCCGAATGTTGTGATCTATACGATTATAAATTTTACTTTTCTCGGCCATTTTATGCCAAGCTTTGCCTACTCCTCACTTTAGCAGATACATGGAACTTATCAATAGATCATTGTGATACTTTGCTATCCGTCGGATATTCACTTGGCACGTTAAGCAAACAACTTCGACCAACTTAAAACTCGACTTAAACAAACTGTCATTTATATTGTCTACATTTTTCGCAAAAACGTCACTCCTATCCAACACGCCAGCGGAAACAACCGCTTTGTTTTGACTAGGTTTGTCACTTTTGGTCTAAATCCTTAGGAAGTACGAGGCCGCGAATCAAGAGGCCGCACCACTGAACAGCGTATAAAATGGTAGTTTGAAAATTCCTAATGGAAGAACTGAGGTGTAAATCGGAGATGAAAACTTGCCCGTGTCATACTGGATGACATGGCTTATAGGCCAAGAATATCTGCCCTTGTTACGACTGCTAAGAAGCAATTTTTCTTTCAAAAAAAAAAGGATCGTTGCTGAGCTATTGTAAGTTTTGACAGATGCCGGTAAACATATTGCGTTTAAGTACCCCTAAGACACATGTTTAATTTAGTAATAATAAAATTCACTTTCAAGTTAAGTCAATCGATGACTAGAAATAGGCTTTTTTGATGTGAGTGAAACGGCGCATTTAATCGAACTCTCGCTTTTTTCCACCTTTCACATATGGCAGTCGGAATTCAAGCAGTTCATCTGCATCCAAAAATGCCATCTTATGTTATACCAATACCTCTATAGGACGCTTGTGTGAACAATTTAGTTGTAATTATTAATAAGAGCCTCACCGGTACGTAGATCTCAGTTTATCTATCTTCATTCCATACACATGCCTGCATAAAGACAGGAATAAAAAAGAATATCGATTGAATTGTTGCATTCCCTTATAAATGATGTTAATATATACTCTTCTAGTCAACCACTAGGCACTAAAGTAGCTAGCTAACGTTTATGTAATGAATATCCTGTAATAAAATTGCATTCATACTATTTTACTACGTCACCATTCATGTGCTACTACCGCAGCCCTCCTTTGTGTCTTATGGCAATTTTTACGGGATTGCGTTTTTCCTTTGATTTTGTATTTATCGTTACGGTTATCATCGTCGTTAAAGTACCGCCTGTTCTTTATGTGTTTTACACTGATTCCAGGATCGGGAATTTGTGGAGCTGGAAGTGCCATACAATGGCGGGAACCCGAACCGACCCAGTTCGACTCCGCCGCTATCGCCAGCTGCCTCTGAGGCGTCTCACGAGCGACACGGCCTGCTCAACTCCTGCTGCGGCTCGCGGGGCCGCTGCAACCGAAAGAAATACCAGGTACATAAGCTCAAAAAGCTCGACCATCAAGGCTATCAGGTGCAGCAGCATACAGGCAAGCATCACCGAACGGACTCACAGGGCTCGGGAGGTCGCTCCCGACCTCACACACAGTTAGATATTGATCTTGAGACGATTGAGTCGTAGGCCGGTCTTTGCCCCACAGGGTCACCTCCGCTATTCAGAACCATTAGTGGTAACCGACAAGGGCAACATTTGCTGTCCTTAAATGTCTCCAACTTGAACAATTCAGCATCCACCAGTCAAACCACTCAAAATCTTTGTACGATAATGACGGCTGTATCAGATGCAACAACCTTAAAAGTTGTTGGCCTTGACCATTGTTGCCCGTCGTCTCTGGCTACCACGACAACCTCACCTAGCAATGATGATCAGCCAGCCGCCAATAGTAACAAAGCTAACGATCGTCACGACAACAGGCGGCTTTCGCAATCGGACAGAAAGGTTTTACCTATTTATTATTTTTTGCCATAATAGAAAAAGACACACTCATATGGAAGGAGCTGTTCTAGTTCGGCACACGTACTTCTATGCAGGCGAAAAAATGAATAGGAAACGTGGCCAATTAAGAGCCATGATAACCATTGTTGTTATATGGTCCTAGACGAATGGCCAGACTGATCCAGTCGAGAAGTAATCTTGCCAGCCTTCCAACACGTCCTAACGTATTGACTCTTCCTTCTTGCTGTGTATAGAGTTCTGGTATAATCATTATAAAAGTAATTACTATATGAAATGTTATTTTACGTATACAACACTGCCGAGGGCCGCCCCGCTTTAGGAGAACAAGAGCAGCGGCAACTGATTACTGCAACGTAATGATAATGATAATCCCGGATTGAATTAAGATTCATGCGTGTATATTTGTATAAATTTCATTGTCGATTTTCATAGTTGTCTTTACACTCTTCCATAAACGTTGTACATCTACAGAGAACAATTCCTTCAGCCGATAGTTGCAGTTTCTAAATAGTTGGATCACGATGAAAAGGCGGACATCCACAACAAACTCTGGCCGATAGACATCTTGGAATAGTTATTCTATTATTTATCTTGGTACTACTGTTATTATTTTAAATTTCGAAATTTTTACTAAATGTATTTTGCGACTTCAACGGTTTCAGACATCACAAACGACCCGTAATTGTCATTGAGCACATCTCTTTCGCAGAATAATAATAATAATAATGATGAAAATGATAATTGTTGACATTTAATGGCAATCTTGCTATGTCAACAGATGTATAGTGAACCAAAGAAAAAAAAGGTGAAGGACGTATAGGTAAGTGTCAACCATAGCGTCATCCCCGTTATGTGGACGGGTGTCTTACGTTACGTGTCTGAAATGCATCAAGAGCCGTTCGTCTTCTGTGTGATTATATATAAATCAATTCCTGCCTGATCATCTGTCCGTCGGTTTTGAAATAGCTTATTCTCATTTTGTGACCTGTGGGGCGGTTATGAATAAAACGTAGCAAGATCAGAAAATTAGATTGTGAATCAAAAAAAAAAAACTGGATTACATCTAATTCCAATTAATATACCCCTAATTGCATAAAATACTAGTGACTATTATACTCATAATAATATATAGGTCTGTAGGGCTAAACTGAACAAAATTACCTTTCCTATCACAACTTAGCTATAATATGTGTACAAGGTAAACCAGGGACCATCATTAATAGTATAAAGAAGAAAAACAAGCAGACAGAGTTTCTGAGTGGTACACAAATATAAAATCATATGTAGTTCCCTCTCTCTCAAGAACTTATTCACCAGTGTGGGTACGATCTGTTGTCCTATTACTATAACGTTACACGATTATAGGGCATTATACGAAAGTGCCACCTAAGTCGGTACCACGTTCCACGTACAGTATGTATGTACGACATCACGTCTGGCGAAAAAAGATTCATACCGAGCTGACCATAAGCAGTGAACCTTTCGTGTATACACAGTCCTGTGAGCCCGTCTTCGGTTGAGATGACTTTGGCGTGATGGTGGTGATGCCAACGTCGTCACTCTCGTTTTGAAAAACGAAGTAAAAAAAAGAAAAGTTCTTGTTATTCATTTGGCATTCGGTCGTTGTCATCTGGCGCATCCACCTCTCGCCTTCCGCCTGTCTGCAGTCTGTGACCCATCGCTCGAGTGTGGCCTGTCGTGTGTTTTACGGATTGTAGCTGCTACCCTGGGAATTTGCCTGGTCGTCTGCTTAACGTAAAGGCCTGGCCTTACAATCAAACGAACTTATTTGAGCAAAAACACCAGCCAGCCAAGCAATGTACCAGCATCAGCAACCAAGCATCATCTGCTACTGCTATTACTTTTCTGTACCAAGTAACCCAATTAATGCTCGCAAAACCAATCACAAAGATGTAGCAACTTCGTTAACATTGTTTCTGTTAGAGAAACGCTTAAAGAGTGCGTATGCTGCTCCCAAATACCATAGCCATGTAACCCATCAGGTAAGCGAGCGAAGTCATGCAAATGCAATGTGAGGTCCATCGAGCTATGATCTATCTATCTAACTATTTCTATTCATCAGAGCACATTCAACGTGCCCAAGGGCATAATTCCTTATATCACGCCATCTACAAACAAACCCTTGTAATCTACCTGTTACCTGTAATGAACCATTGCACGCCTCTCTGTAATCAACAGACACCTGCCACCAAGCATTTAGCTAACACCGGAAACCCACACCCGTGCAATCATCAAAAATAACCTGCCAACCCATCGTACTAATCCACAAGCTGCCTTCAAGTTCACCCACTTACCCAAGTAACCATTTGAGAATCCTATCTATAACGGTAAATTACAATCAACTACCTACAACACTGACTATAGTACCTAGCAGCCAGAAATCAAACGTACTTTAAATCCGAAGAGAACAATGGACCCAACTAAACTTCGTTTTATTTCTTCGATACCTCTTCTATAATTTTCTGTACATTTTATCAGCCTTCACCTCGACGTGACACTACCATTATCCAGCACCATTTCAACACTTATTTTAATCCAAAGGAACGGCCTTGTCTTAGTAGTACGATTGCATACGTTGTCTATAGAAATGAATCTTCATTCAAACATACATGAACCTATCCAATTCCCGCTCCAGTCCCCAGCATCGGCCACTCTTTTTCTAGAATCCTGATACGAGCTTTATGCGTCGGTATCCATCGAAGTAAATCGCGGACCGAATGTCAGAATCCCTAAGGAATTATGTATCAATTCTTAGCATCCGCCGCTCACCTAAAAGCCTATATAGTTTTATCTCCTTTTATACAAGCACGTTTGTCTTTGCTTTTAGTCGTTTTTCGTATGTAAGCAGGTTTTCCGTCTCGGCTATGAAAAATTTACATTAGGTTCGCTTCGTCTAAAGGTTTTACAAACAGCTTGGATAAGATACTGTGTGTTGTCTTTGAGATGCAGATCTGTGGAGATGTACCCTGTAATTTGGAACTGTTTCTATCTATTGCAAAGATTAGCACAGCCAATTGACGAAACTATCATTTTTCAGTCTTGAGTAACGCTTTTGACAGCCAGTGGGTTATTCCTCTGGTCAGAGACCTGTATGCCGTGCAGATGTACGCGACCCATCGCGATATGTTACGTTCGAGTAAGAAAACATTGTTTCAAGGAACCTGTTACAGAACATCTTATAATACTATACTCGTTATAAATATACCCTGTCACTTTTCCTAGAAACGTCTTCTTGAGAGCTCTCTGTCTGCCTGTGATAACCAGTTAATGCAGAACGCAAACCCAACATGTTGAAAAATGCAGTTTGATTGTTGTAGGATTATCAGTTTGCTGCAGTTACTTCTCCTACCTCATATTGCTCTTTTGACATTTGTTTGTCGCGCTTTACTTAACGTGGACTGTCTAAAAGGCGCTGCTATACCAAAACAGCTCTAGAGCTATTTGTCAGAGATTATATCGCAGACACAGTGTGCCGATGTGTGGACACAATTCTCTCAAAAAAATTATGAATGCTTTTCTATAGAAAGATCATAATTGTAATATTTCGCAATATAGAAAGTAATCGATTTCAAAATTTCGCGGCCCGCTTTTGATCGCCTGATTGTCTTTCTGCATCCGCTTATCTATCGGGCTTCGCCCTCGCCCTCGCGAACCGCCTTAGAGACATGATTCTAGCGTAATGTTCTAACAATCACGATTATTTTGGCTGCCATTATTCTATTGTAATTACCGTTCTACGGTTATGATAACGGTAACATAAACTGTTGTTTCTATCCTTCACATTAAGTATCACTAGAACGCTATATTTTTAGCGTGGAAGCAGATAAATTTGTTGTGATCTTTATTGTTTACTTTGTACTTGTACTATGATACAATAATTATTATTAAAATGTCTTTCTCCAAGCAAGGATTATTACTAGCGCATTGCCTTCTGCTAGTAGTCGTGATGATCATCGTTGGCCACATACGCCTATTACTAATAGATCGAACTGGATTAACAGAAAACGCAGTGAGGATCTACAACGTGTTTTGCTATATTCAAATCTAGGCGGGTTCTTCTAATGTACAATGGTTCATTTAATTATTCTGTGCGCGCCAAACTCGTCTAATAACAACCGGGCTTCTCATTTGCCGTCGTGTGAAACAGTCGAGTTCTCAAACATTCACTAAATTCCGCCTGTCTTGAGAGACTCCAACTTGCCATGTATGTTCTTATACAGCGTTCGCAGAAAGTAATAGGACTCCACAGTAAAAGAGATAAACGAACGAAATGTTAAAAGAAAGTATTTAAATGCTCCACAGCAGCGACAACAAACAATTGCTAATAATACCTATCTAGTTATTAACTGTGCCGCAAATCTGAAACAAATCGGTCGCGAACATAGAACAAGTTCCTACAATGTTACTGTGTCTACTGGACAGACTGAAATAACTGCACAGAGGTTAAGTAGGCCGATGTACACCTATTTTACGGATCTTCTGCTGCAGGTCAACTG